ATATTTCTGAACATTATCTTTAAAATATAGATTTTGTTTGATTCAGTTATTTCAAAGGCAAAAACCCTGTTCAGCACTTAGAGGTCAATTGGCTCCTTACAAGGTAGGACGTGTTTAGAATTAATTAAACTTGGGTTCAATTTCAAGTCCTCCCTTCCCCAGAGAAAAATTCTCATTGTTAAGAAAAAAAAAAAGCAAAAACCTTTATTAAGCCCTCAAACTTATTTCAAAATAGTAGTGGTTAAATACATTTTTTGGTCCCTTTACTATTAAAAAAAGCCTCTTTTTATCCTTATACTGAAAAAATCTCATTTTTGATCTTTATTGTTTGAAACCCGACCCATTTTTAGTCCCTCCGTCAGTTAAATGACAACATGACATAATAATTCATTAAATATTTTGTTGTTTTCCTTTTCAATGTTGACGTGTAATTACATGTTAATCAATGGGATCCAAAAAAAGACATGGAAATGCCATGTGAGAAAAAATTGATGATGTGTACCAAAAAAATATTATTTTTTTTCACAAAAATACTCAAAAATAAAATACTGATAAAAATGATAAGGTGAATAGGAAAAGATATTAAATTATTGTAATAGTTTCACTAAAATCATTTAATATGTAGTATTTATTTTTTTACTGTTTAAACATAAATAAAATAAAATAAAATATTATATTATTATAATAATTTTACTAGATTCATTTAATATGTAATATTTAATTATTTAATTATTTATTTCTTTTAATCAAATTTAATATTTTTAATTTAATTTTTTTTACTTTTCAAGCATAAATTAGATAAAAATTTAACAATTTTCAACACAAATTTTTGTTTTTTCCGTCCTCTCCAAAATTAATTTTTCACAACAATTCTTTTCTCCTTATTCCTCGACACATTTCAATTTCAGATGAAATTTCTTCCCATAATCTTGAGCAATATCACCTTCCCTCTACCAATTTCGACAATTGCTTAACCATGAAATCCAAAATCAACACATAGAAAATCTTAGATCCAGGACCCGAGCCAAGAGTGATGAAGTAAAAAAGATGAAGCCAAGCGACGAACCCAAGGCCAAGTTCATGACGAACCCAGGAGCTAGGTTCACGACAAACCTCATGAACTCAGGTGCCTGGGTTCGTCGTGAACCCAACTAGAAGGCAAAGGTAAAAAAAAAAAAAAAATGAAAGCTGGAGGAAGAAGAGGATAAGATAGAAAGGGGAAGAAAATGGGGGCAAATTAGTGAAGATTTGAGCTTTAATTGAGATGAAGATTGGTGTGAAGGAGGGCTTTGATGGAGGAAGGTTTGGCAAAGAAGAAATCAATGGATGAGAGGCGGATAAGGTTCAAGCAAAGGTAGAGAGGATCAGGGATTTGGGCTTAGGAAGAAGATGAGGATAGAAATGGGAAATGAAAAGACAAAGGGAAAAAGATGACTTTTTCTTTTAATTGTTTTAGATCCAATTGATTACATGGAAAATAAATTTTATTTCCAACTCATCAATTTTGTAACGTATAACCACATGTCACCGTTAAAAAGAAAAGAAAAAAACAAAACATTTAACAGATTATTGTACCATGCTGTCACTTAACTGACGGAGAGATTTAAAAGGGGTCGGATTTCAAACAGTAAGGATAAAAAAGAGGATTTTTTCAGTATAAGGACCAAAAGGGGCTTTTTTCAATAAAAAGGGTATTTAACCAATAGTATTTAAGCCCTTAAACTAAAAATGAAACAGATACGTTTTTCAACTCTACTAATGATGCAAATCTCATTTATGCTTTTAAGGTGACATTAAATATGAAATACCGTTTGTGAAAAGGGTTTATTTGCATTGTTTGTGGAGTTAGAATTGCTTCATTTTTAATTTATGAACTTAAATACTATTTTGAGATAAGTTTAGGAGCATAATAAGGGTTTTTACCTATTCCTAGATTCAAGTTTCATTAACGCTTTGAAAAAAAATCCTCATTCTCCTAATTTGTACGCTGTTTAAAAAAAAAACCAATGAATATTTGTAATTATTAATTATTAAATAATAAAATAATTAATATTTATTATTTAGTATATTAAAATAAAAATTTAAAATAAAAATTTAATAATTTATATAAATAATAATTAATATTTTTATATAAAATTTTTATTAAATATTTATATTTAATTTTAAAAATTAATTATTATTTATATAATATATGTTAAATACCATTTTTGATCCCTCTATTATTGAAAAAAAGCCTATTTTTGATTATTGTATTGAAAAAATCCCTTTTTAATCCTTAAAAATTGAAATTAGATCTCTTTTTGGTCCATCTGTTAAAAATTTTGACAAATAACAATTAATTAATAAAATCATATAACATGAAAAATCCACTTTAAAAAAAATGACATTGACATATTTTTGAATCCATGTCAACATCTTTACCCTTCTGGTTTTTTTTTTTTTTAACCTTGCTCGGTTCTCATTGCGAACACAACACGCTTGTGTTCGGGTGGACGCTCGTCGCGAACCTAGCACACGCTCGTCGCGAACGTAACGCATGCCTGTGTTCAAGCACGTGCTCGTCGCAAACCCAATGCACACCTATGTTTAGGCGTGCGCTAGTCACGAACCCACCTATACTGGGTGGTGTGTTCGTGACGAACCCAGCAAAGTTAAAAAATAAAAATAAAAAAAGCAAAAGGGTGAAGATGTGGATGTGAACTAAAAAATTATGTCACGTTATTTTTTTTTACAAATTGAATTTTTCACGTTACCTAATTTCGTTAATTAATTGTTACATATTAAAAAATTGAACGGAGAGATTAAAAAAAAAATCGAATTTTAATATTTAAAGATCAAAAATAAGATTTTTTCAATATAAAGATCATAAAAAGATTTTTTTAATAACAAAGGAACTAAAAAAAGTATTT